CAGAGCACAGATAGCCCTTGTACAGCTTTGTGTGAAATTGTGACACAAACAAACAATCAATTAATCAGTAGTCAGCTTTTCCTTAATTATTTTCGTCGTAAGCTAATATTTCCTAATAAAATAAATACTGCTTTTCTCACCTTTTACCAATTCTCCTTTCATACTACTAGTGGAAGTGTTGATATCATCTTCATAGTTGCCATGGAGAAGGTAGTCTCGCAGTGGATCTGTGTAGCGTAAACACTGTACTACTGCATTTATGAAACACTGTTCGAAAAAAAAAAATCTTTGTTGGATGAATTGTCAATTGTAATTAAATTATTGTATATTTTTTGACAGCCAAAGCTAAAACATCTACAGAGTGCATTGTTATTTTACACTGTAGTTTTTTCATTGTTTGGTGACGTTTTATAACAATCAAGATAAAGTAAAACTTTTGGGCTTTCGTCTTTCACCCACCCCCCAGTGGCACAGCGGTATGTCTGCGGACTTACAACGCTAGAATCCGGGTTTCGATACCCGTGGTGGGCAAATCACAGATAGCCCATTGTGTAGCTTTGTGCTTAATTACAAAAAACAAAACAAAAAACAATCTTCTTTCAGCCGTTAGGGCTTTATAATGTCATGGACAATCGTACTTTTCATTAGTAAAGAGTGGCCCAAGAGTTGGCGATGGGTGACACTGACTTTCTGCCTTTCCTCTAGCTTATCGCTTCAGCCGGTAATTTGAGTGTGCTTATGTTTTTCTTATAGCGAAGCCACGTCGAGCTATCTGCTGTGTCTACGTTGCCCTTGTATAGCATTGTGCCGCCCCCCCCCCCCCCAGTGGCACAGCGGTAAGTCTGCGGAGTTACAACGCTAGTTTCAATAATATCCCATTGTGTAATTTTGTTCTTAACTGCAAACAAATTGTACAGTATGACTGCTAGACTGATATTTAAAACGAAACTTAAAATTTCAAAATTTGATATATTTAGAACAAAACGTATTACCACATTTAATTAGGAAAACATTGCTTTCTTTAAAGATAACCAAAAAATGTTTTGTTAAATTTAAACGTTATTGTGCTTTTTGAAAAAGTCGAGAACAGCGGTTTAGATTATATCCAAGTGAAAAATACAGCGAATATTATTAGCTATTCATCAGGCTTATTGACCACCTTTGCAAGACTTTGTTGTTTAAGATATGTAAAATAGCGGTTAGCTTACCGAATTGTGAATCTTAAAGTGTATGATTCGCGACTCTCCATCCATGCTGTCTATGATAAAAACTTAAGTGTTTGTCTGGTTTTTTTTTTAATATTCGCGCAAAGATACGCAAGGAATATCTGCACTAGTCGTACCTAATTTTAAACTGATAAACTAAGGGAATACAGCTAGTCAAAAGCACCCACCGCCGACTCTTGGCCTACTCAAATAGATTCATTTATTGTTAAGCACATAGCTAAACAATTTGCTATTTGTGCTGTGCTCACCTCGGGTATCGAAACCCGGTTTTTTAGTGTAATTAGCCCTCAGACTTACCACTGAGCCAACTGGGGGGAGACTCTAATTGAATAGTGGGATCTGAAGGTCACTCTTGTAACACACCCATGACCCGAACTTGCAGAGTACTGTTTTGCGACAACTTCAACACACACCAAACTAAGTTTTATTTTATGTGGTAATATTTGAGATAAACTTACGGTATTCCCCAAGTTATTCAGACCAGTTAATTTCCACTTTGTTACACTGTCAACAGAGGAGTTGCTACCATATCCGCTGCTTGTTGAATCCTGTTAGCATAAGAATGATAGAAGAAAGAACTATTCACACATCTTATCATTCAAAACAGCCTATCTCATTAAGTCTATAGAAGTGTGGATCACAGATTATAGTAAAAAAAAGTACAGTGATGTGATCCAGTCTAAATAGTACAATACACAACAACCTGAGAATTGATTCAAAGGATCCAGTATGAATTAATAGGGAAAAAATTAAACTTTTAACGAAAAGTAGGGATCATTGATTTTAAGTACAATTGGTATAAGACATAAGGAATAAAGTGATACTAGTTGGATAGTTTTACAAAAGGATTTTCAATCCCTATTTTGGTTGGCAAATTTAGACTGCTTCATTTAGCCAGGCCCGGCATGGCCAGGTGGTTAGAGCGCTCGACTCGCAATCTGAGGGTCGCGGGTTCGAATCCTCGTCACACCAAAACATACTCGACCTTTCAGCCGTGGGAGCGTTATAATGTGACGTTCAATCCCACTATTCTCTGGTAAAAGAGTAGCCCAAGAGTTGGCGGTGGGTGGTGATGGCTAGCTGCCTTCCCTCTAGTCTTACACTGCTAAATTAGGGACGGCTAGCGCAGATAGCCCTCGTGTAGCTTTGCGCGAAATTCAAAAACAAACAAACAAACATATTCGTATGTAATATTTATATCAAAAACACTGGAGTTCGTTTGGTAAAACTGACTTATTCACAGCATCAACATTATATCATTATCCTGCTGTTAATATAATTTGTTTCACACCAAACAAAAAAATAATAAAGTTTCTGTATAGAAATTTCATTTAGTTTACGTTTGTCCATCGCTTCTGAAGAAGTGTGGAAATCCCTGACACCGGCCCAAATCATGACAGGTAGTAAATCCAAGAGCAACGCGGATCTCACGTTTCATTTTCACAAAAAAAAAGGGGGTCTTTTTTTTTTAACAACCAAATCTCAGAGTCTGTATTGATGTAATAAAGATTGAAATGCGTAGGAAAAGTTATTAGGGACACAGTTTATTTTAAAGATTGGCCTTTTTACACTTTCTAACGTTCCTCCTAATTGGTAAGCGCAAGTATTTACAACGTTAAAATCCGAGATTCGATACCCGATGGTGGACGGAGCGCAAATAGCTAAAAAACGACACTTCATAATTTTGTTGCCCGCCCCAGTGGCACAGCGGTATGTCTGTGGACTTACAACGCTAGAAACCGGGTTTTGATACTCGTAGTGGGCAGAGCACAGACTGCTTAACTTCAAACAAATACACTTATTACTATAAAATGTTATGCTCCGTCAGTTGTAACGTTGTACACCCAAAGGCGTTCTGTCACAAAATCATTTAAATCTATAAATATGCTACATTTATTCAATTTTTTCCCATCAACAAAATTAGGTTGATTGTTTGCAATTAATCATTTATATCTGTAGGAATATATTAATTATATATATATATAATTCTCTAACAGATGGCGCCATTAAAGGTAACACTAGTTGAATTACTTTGTTTGAAGTTAAGCACAGAGCTTACAACGCTAGAAACCGGGTTTCGATACCCGTGGTGGGCAGAGCACAGATAGCCCTTGTGTAGCTTTGTGCATACTTAAAAACAAACAAACAAGCACAAACCTACACAGTGGGCTATCTGTGCTCTGCCCACCACGAGTATCTAAACCCGGTTCCTAGCGTTGTAAGTCCGCAGACATATCGCTGTGCCACTGGGGCGGGGGAAGTAATAGGTGTGAGATTTAATATAAGATTTATAATAATGTAAATCACATTTGTCACTGTGCACTATACGGGTTTCCTTTGTTAAGCCAGTAAATAATTGTGTTATCTAAATCATTATTAATCTTATTGGAAGATCAACCTTATTACGTGTATGTTACCATTAAATGATTTTATATTCTAACGACAGGTCTTATGCTTTGTCAGGTATTATATAAGTCTCTCGGAAGCATCTTTGTCGTCAAATTTGGACTGACCCAAAAGCATTAACAAGGTTTAAGTCCCTCACAAACGCCTTTGTTGTCAAACATTTGGAATGGCCCAAAAGCTGTAATAAATTTGAAACCTTTTATAAATACCTTTGTCGTCACACATTTGGACTGGCTCAAAAGTTTTAACAATATTTAAGCCTCTCACAAATGACATTGTCGTCAGACGTTTGAACTGGTTCAGTAGTTTTCACAGCATTTAAGTCTCTCACAGCTACCTTTGTCCCCAAATCTTCAGGTATTTGGACCGACCTCTAAGGTTTGACAATCTTTTATAGCGTTTTGCATTAACAATGGGAAGGGGTGTTTATATATATCTACTAAAAATAAATGTGAAGCCCAATCAATCATTTAGTTACCACTGGATATATTGGTTCCGGTGAACCAATCTGGCCAGGTGGTTCCATCCTCATCAGTAACCCTAGACAAATCGAAGGAATAAAACTTGATTTTAAACAGTGCCCCTCCCCCCTCCATTGACACAGCTGTATTTCTGCGGTCTTCTACTACTAGAAACCTAGTTTTGATACCCGTGGCAGCTGTATTTCTGCGGTCTTCTACTACTAGAAACCTAGTTTCGATACCCGTGGTGGGTAGAGCACAGTTAACCCTTTCTGTAGCTTTGTGCTTAATAACAAACAGCAACATTAAACAGTGGTGGAGTAAATATTCTACGCTTTGAAATGTCGTTTACTTGCACAGTAATCTTATATAACTTGAAAATTAGTAGCACTAATGTTGCATAATCTTGGAATTCATGTATTAATGTATAATTAGTGAGTATGTAAACTTAAGCACTTCAATATTTTATGTAAACCGATGTTTTTGGCTCACAGAGGACGTGATTGATAAAATGATTGAGTGCCCCTTACGGTTGAAAATTAAACTACGTATTAAGCATTGTCTAAGGACTTTATAACTCGCATAACAAGAAAGAAGGATGGAGGCTAGAGAATCGAGGCTACTGCAGCGTCATCTCTTAACAGCAACAAGATTTAAAACGTTACGAAACATATTAATCATCAGCAGACCAGTTTAACCTACATTTCAACCTACGTCTCATTACTCCAAGTAATTTTATGTTCTAAGATATTCTTGATGACGTTTAGACTTATTCAGAAAATTCTTGAGATGGCGCTTTGCAACCCTTAAAAAAATATATAGTCTTCCGAATATATCGTACGGGGAGGGTGGAATCAAAAGCTCAGACCACACCTCCAAACTCTTTCTTGGACTTCCGGATTTTAAAAAGGCGCCTTTTCCCAGACTGTTATCTGAGCTGTGGGGGAATCGATCCCCGGATTATAGCGTTGGAAGTCCGTAAACTTACCACGCCTAGAATGTGACCCAGAAACCCTACCCATTTCCAAGAATAGGGCCCTTTCCGAAAAACCTGCCCCTTTTTCTGGACCATAAAAGCGAAGGTCTTTACCCTTTCCGACGGACCTCCCACGTATTGACCTGTAGAGGGAGTGACCCCCCTCCCCCCCGGATTAAAAGCCTTCGGAAGTACAGTTATAAATGGCATCTTACTAATTAGAAACTTACATTTCGACTTCCAGAAGCAAGAAAAGATCTTAAATTCATTAACAAAAAATCCTCTCAAATCAAATTGGACTTGGAATATAAATTCCTAGTTTAACTTAACTCATGGGCGCAATATTATAAGACTGTGCAAACGGATTGTAGAAAGAGCTTAGAAAACAAGATCCAGCCTGTGTAATGAACAAAAGCATATAGAACAGTTCAGGAGTAATATTGCAGGCCACTTTGTAATCTATGTCCTGTTCAATTCCCAGATTCTTTGTGTAATTGAATCCTAACTCTTCGTGCTAACTTTTGTAACACATCACGTTCCAAGATGTCTGATATGAATTGTGAAATTCATGTATTAATGTACAGTTAGTGAATACGTAAAATTAAGCACTTCAATAAGTTAAGGCCCGGCATGGCCGCCAGGTGGTTAGAGGGCGCTCGACTCGCAATCTGAGGGTCGCGGGTTCGAATCCCCGTCACACCAAACATGCTCGCCCTTTCAGCCGTGGGGCGTTATAATGTGACGGTCAATCTCACTATTCGTTGGTAAAATAGTAGCCCAAGAGTTGGCGGTGGGTGTTGATGACTAGTTGCCTTCCCTCTAGTCTTACACTGCTAAATTAGGGACGGCTAGCGCAGGTAGCCCTCGTGTAGCTTAGCGCGAAATTCAAAAACGAAACAAAATCAATAAGTTACTTAAACCGATGTTTTTGACTTGGAGAGGATATGATTGATAAAATGTAGAGTGCCCCTTACGGTTGAAAGTTAAACTACGTATCAAGTATTGCCTAAGGACATTATAACTCATACATGGCTGGTAGTCCCTAATTTTGAACTTAATGTGTAAAAAAAAAAAACTGTAATCAGCTAGCAGAATGTGGCAAAGAGATGCGAACCCTGAATCTTCAGCATTACAACATGACACTAGACCACGCCCAGTGTGTGTGTGTGTGTGTGTGAAATGGAAAACATTACTTCAAACTTCAACATTGATATTTCGTACTTTCAAATCAGATCTGTCATCCCTTCATTGAACCAAACGCCTCCTCCAACACCCACACCCACCAATTACACATTAGTTAAACAATATACGTGACATGAACCCGCAAAATTAACAAATATGGTAATTCGTTAATAATATTTATCAGTAGGACAGTCATTTTAACACTAAACAAATACTTTTCCTACACCATCTGTAATTATCAAGTCAACAGTATCAAATTATTGACCCAATAATCAAAAGTTTCCGTTGAGAAATAATTTATTTTAAATAACAATGGCCATTACACTTCTACAGTAGATGTCGCCACCATTTAACTAATAACTCCTAAAGAATATTTGAATAAACAAATGCGTGTAAGCTACAGGATTGAGTAACAATAATAGACGCCGTATTATAACTATAACTAATTTAAATTGACTAGTATTTTAAATACAATTATATTTTTAGCACTTAAGCTTCCTGAAATTGTAAGCAACAATAATAG